ACATTTAGGCCAAAATGTATTCTGCTACAAAGTTTTCATAAAAACAAAATCCCAATAAACGTATATTGATTGGTCTGCACAAAAGTTATAGCATCTACAAACTACAGTATATACAGTCAGATCCATAAATATTGGGACATCGACACAATTCTAACATTTTTGGCTCTATACACCACCACAATGGATTTGAAATGAAACAAACAAGATGTGTTTTAACTGCAGACTATCAGCTTTAATTTGAGGGTATTTACATCCAAATCAGGTGAACAGTGTAGGAATTACAACAGTTTGCATATGTGCCTCCCACTTGTGAAGGGACCAAAAGTAATGGGACAATTGGCTTCTCAGCTGTTCCATGGTCAGGTGTGTGTTATTCCCTCATTATCCCAATTACAATGAGCAGATAAAAGGTCCAGAGTTCATTTCAAGTGTGCTATTTGCATTTGGAATCTATTGCTGTCAACTCTCAAGATGAGATCCAAAGAGCTGTCACTATCAGGGAAGCAAGCCATCATTAGGCTGAAAAAACAAAACAAACCCATCAGAGAGATAGCAAAAACATTAGGCGTGGCCAAAACAACTGTTTGGAACATTCTTAAAAAGAAGGAACGCACCGGTGAGCTCAGCAACACCAAAAGACCCGGAAGACCACGGAAAATAACTGTGGTGGATGACCGAAGAATTCTTTCCCTGGTGAAGAAAACACCCTTCACAACAGTTGGCCAGATCAAGAACACTCTCCAGGAGGTAGGTGTATGTGTGTCAAAGTCAACAATCAAGAGAAGACTTCACCAGAGTGAATACAGAGGGTTCACCACAAGATGGAAACCATTGGTGAGCCTCAAAAACAGGAAGGCCAGATTAGAGTTTGCCAAACAACATCTAAAAAAACCTTCACAGTTCTGGAACATCCTATGGACAGATGAGACCAAAATCAACTTGTACCAGAGTGATGGGAAGAGAAGTGTATGGAGAAGGAAAGGAACTGCTCATGATCCTAAGCATACCACCTCATCAGTGAAGCATGGTGGTGGTAGTGTCATGGCGTGGGCATGTGTGGCTGCCAATGGAACTGGTTCTCTTGTATTTATTGATGATGTGACTGCTGACAAAAGCAGCAGGATGAATTCTGAAGTGTTTCAGGCAATATTATCGGCTCATATTCAGCCAAATGCTTCAGAACTCATTGGACACCGCTTCACAGTGCAGATGGACAATGACCCAAAGCATACTGCAAAAGCAACCAAAGAGTTTTTTAAGGGAAAGAAGTGGCATGTTATGCAATGGCCAAGTCAATCACCTGACCTGAATTCGATTGAGCATGCATTTCACTTGCTGAAGACAAAACTGAAGGGAAAATGCCCCAAGAACAAGCAGGAACTGAAGACAGTTGCAGGAGAGGCCTGGCAGAGCATCACCAGGGATGAAACCCAGCGTCTGGTGATGTCTATGCGTTCCAGACTTCAGGCTGCAATTGACTGCAAAGGATTTGCAACCAAGTATTAAAAAGTGAAAGTTTGATTTATGATTATTATTCTGTCCCATTACTTTTGGTCCCTTAACAAGTGGGAGGCACATATGCAAACTGTTGTAATTCCTACACCGTTCACCTGATTTGGATGTAAATACCCTCAAATTAAAGCGGACAGTCTGCAGTTAAAGCACATCTTGTTCGTTTCATTTCAAATCCATTGTGGTGGTGTATAGAGCCAAAAATGTTAGAATTGTGTCAATGTCCCAATATTTATGGACCTGACTGTACACTGGAATATATTTTTTTTCCAATACTAGTAATGGTGGCAATCAGCAACTTATAGCAGGACTGCGAAATTACGGCAGACAGTCTGACACTAACTGACACTTTGTGGGAACCAGTGACACTAATATAGTGATCAGTGTTAAAAAATATACAATGTCGCTGTATTAATGACATGGGCTAGGAAGTGGTTAAACATCTAGGGTGAACAAAGGGTTAACTGTGTGCGCAGCCAGTGTTTTTGTGTACTGTGTGTGCTGTTTTTACTAGGCAAACTGGTAGATTTTATTCCCTGCTTCTAGCAGACCGCTGCTGACAGAACACGGCTCTACCTTATAATTTAAAAGATGCGGCGCTATATCACAAGTAATAAAAAGAAAATGGAAATTATCCAAGGTGTCAATATAGTGATCATAAGTGATTAATGTGATCCTGAACAATAAGCAGAGTAACATGCAGTGCAAAAAAACAGTCTTTGTGGTAATATCTCTCCTTCAAAGTGCTGATTCCATGCGGTGAACGTGAAAAAGGACAAGACTGTGCACTCACCAGATGCACAGCGTAACTGCGCATTTAGAGATGAATTATCTCTGAAAAATCCACTGGTAGCTCTTTAAGGTCAGGTCAAATCAGATATTCCTCCACCCGCTGGATGTTGATGATAATCCGCAGTCTCTCTCAAAGATGGCTCTACAGGTGATATGTGACTCACCAAGGGCCACAAAGAAAGGAGACCAATAGCGTGATAACGTTTTAAAACGTTAACGTTTTATCCAGCGGGTGGAGGAATATCTGATTTGACCTGACCTTAAAGAGCTACCAGTGGATTTTTCAGAGATAATTCATCTCTAAATGCGCAGTTACGCTGTGCATCTGGTGAGTGCACAGTCTTGTCCTTTTTCACGTTCACCGCATGGAATCAGCACTTTGAAGGAGAGATATTACCACAAAGACTGTTTTTTTTTTGCACTGCATGTTACTCTGCTTATTGTTCAGGATCACATTAATCACTTATGATCACTATATTGACACCTTGGATAATTTCCATTTTCTTTTTATTACTTGTGATATAGCGCCGCATCTTTTAAATTATATGCTTTTGTAAGGTTTATTGGTTTCCTTTTTGATGCTGTGGCTGCTTTAGTTTTTCTAGCGCTCGCAACTTCTTTTACATACGGCTCTACCTTGTTTACATAGGCAGAGCTGTGTTTTGTGTTCTGTCAGTCTCCTTGGCGATCAACGGTAGCCGGCGCTCATCCATTGGTCTCATCTGTTGATCGGCTGCTGCTGTGTCCAACTCACAGGAGAAGCGATGCACCTCCTACGGTGGAAGTGGAAAATCACGTTTATATATGTGATTTTTCACAAAACGTCCGTACTGTAGCAGCAAGTCTGCTATAGGGTGGACTTAAAATGGCTAAAGATAAACATCTGCATCTAGGGTGTAAGTATTATATGTGTGCACCGATTAGAAAGGCAGGATGGGGTCACATTCAAAATGCAACTTAAAAAGATATATCACGAAAATAAAATAAACTAGGTTTACCACATAAAACAGGCATCACGAAATGGCAGACTACAACTCAGTTCCGGGCCAAGTGACAGTTCTGTCTGGACTGATACGGCTGCACCATTCAGCTGCCTCTGTTTAAATGGAGGCTGTCATGTAAAATGCAGGACTTCAATGTGAAAGATACTGTAAAGGAGGGCTGTGATGTAAAGAGGGATGTTGCAATGCACAATGTAAAGGGGGTGCTGTATTGTAAAGGAGCACTGGGATGTAAAGAAGGGCACTGTGCTGTAAAGGGGGAGACTGCGGTGTAAAGAGGGGGCTGTACTGTAAAAGGGGGCTGTGATGTATTGAGAGGTTGCTATGTAAAGAGGAAAACTGTGATTTAAAGGGGTGCTGTAATGTAAAGTGGGGCTACAAAATAAAAAGGGCTGTGTTGCAAAGGGAGGGCCTGTGGTGTAGAGGGAGGGTTGCTATGAAAAGAGGAAGACTCATTTAAAGGGTGTGCTGTGGTCTACATGGGGGTACTGGGATGTGAAGGCGGGGGAGGGGGTCTGATATGTAAAGGGGGAGATGTGAAAGGTGTGGGACAATAGTGTGAAGTTATATCGCGAACAGATTTTGACATCTGCTGAAAGAAAATTTTACTGACCAGACCCGGTGAATTTTGAACTCAATACCCCAATATAAAATAGAGCAGCTCTGAAACTTAACTCAATCTCAGTGCAAACCATCAGTTGTGCATAACCTTTTATTTTGAAAAAAGAAATGAAAGATAAAGGTATACAACATTGTTTCCTCAACTGAATTGAACAATCATAGCAAAAGGGTCATTCAACATTTTGAACAAAGTTTATGGAAAGTATCTTCCATGGGGTGCTTCAAGCCTAGAACCTCAGCTCAGGCAGTTAAAAAAAAAAAAACATCCCAATCACCCATTTGCGTTACAAATTTTTCCATAAATCTACAAATGCTATGCTGTACTTCACAGTATACTTTTTATTTGCAGTATTCTTAACACTCCAAAGGTTAACTGAAGCAGAACTGTGCTTTGTCTCTGAACAAGAACACTGCAAATACTTTTATTCTGCAAATAGGGTTGGCAATAGGATGTGAAAGACAGTTAAACTGGACCCAACAAATGCAGTTGAAAGAGTGCCAAAAGGTTGCACTCAGTGGACATTACCTCTGTTTTGATGGGGAACAGAAATGCAGTAACATGACTTCTATTGAAGATCTTCATGCGGATGAAACCATATTTTGTTGAATAATGTCTTGCCTTGTTTTTAGGAGCCATTTTAGCCATCAATTTCCATCAGTTAGGTGGGGCACGGGTATAAAGCATAAATAAAACTGTACATTAAAACTGTACAATAACAATAAAGGAAAAGAACAACTCTACATCTTAGTATGGAAATATTTATGTCCGTCAAAATAAAAAGTAGTGACTATGTACTCTGTACTCATCTTGATTCATCAGAAAAACCTTAGAAGAGAAACCTGAGCTAACAATTCCAAGTCACGTTTCACTTTTCTATGATCAAATGTTCTTTTGTGTATTTTACAGTAAAAACAATACAAAAAGTTTTCCCACTTCATTTCTCAAAAAAATAAGGAACGGAGGAGCCGCATCCTCAGCATAGGAGACACAAGTCTTTGTCTCTGCTGTTAAAGCCAAGTGAAAAAAAAAAAAACAGGAACGTAAACACAACAATCCTAGGCACAAAACGGGCCTCATCCTACAGTCACAAATCTGCTGCCTTTGCTCATAGCCTGAGACAGTCTTTGTTCTTTTAGAATCTTGAAACGTTCATTTAATGTGATTCCCGTCTAGAAAAAAAAAAAAAAAAAAAAACCACAGTAAGAATATATAAAATATGTTTAACATTCTTTATTAAAGAAAGGGTTGCAGCGCATACATAAAGGAGATGTTGTACAAGTCATGGTCATCAGAGAGAACAATATAGTTAGGTGGACAAGAATATTTTATGTACAAATCAAGTTAAGAGTTTGCAATCATGTAATGGCATACCTGTTTTACAACGCTGTTTATATCAAAGTCTAAAGGGACTCCTTTGGGTACCTTAGGTTCTGAACCCTCCTTTTTCAACAAAAAAGGTAATGGGGGTCGGGGCAGCCTTGTACTGTAGAATAAAATCAAACTTAGGTAAGTCCAAAAATTGCACAATAAAAGATAGATGATTTATATACTCTCTTTATATTTCAAACACAAACCTAGGTAACAAAGCTGCAGTAGGATTATCGATTGATACCGTCAAAATACCACTGCTGTTCATAGATGTCCTCCAACTAGAAGAAAAATATAATTTGATACAATGTTCTTGTTTCTGCACATGTACACAAGGGAAACAAAATACAGCATAAATTAAAAACCGATGCTCACTGAGACAAAACAATTGTAACAACTGCAACCAAAACAATTCCTCTTCCCTAAACTATACTACTTGGCAAACGATGTCTAAAAACCTGGAATTAAAATGTACTTAACCATTTAGAGTCTCATATACGCACCTTGATTTTGACAATGCAATATTTTTATTTTGACGCAAAAGTTAATGCAAATCTGGATCTGTAATTTTTGTGTAAAATTGCTCTAGCCATATTAGGCTAAAAGGGGATTACTGGAGAACAACAATTTTCCAATCATTCAACAATATACCGTATTTTTCGCTCCATAAGATGCACTTTTTTCCCCATCAAAAAATGGGGGGAAATGTCTGTGTGTCTTATGGAGCAAATATGGATCGGCCGGCCCAGTATTCCCCTCACCGCTGTGTTAGAATACCGGGCTGGCAGCTCGGCTCTACTGTGTATAAGAACCCACTCCTCCGTCCCACCTGTTCCTCGGTCCAGCTTCCATCAGCCGTTTTCTCACCCTGGCGCATGCATCTTCAGTGTGGGCACCCGGCTGTGACAACTTGAGGCTTCACAGCCGGGTGCCCACTGTGCATGCGCAAGAAACGCTGCGCTTTGTGAATGGCCCCATAGTCTTGTGGGACTTGTCACGTTATGAGGGAAGGGGAAGGACAACTCCACGGAAGTGGGAGCGGGTACCCACCCCCCTCCCCAAAGGTCCGCAGTCTCTGTTCATTTCCTGTACTATGTCTGCAGTCCATTGGTTCAGAATTTTTGTTTTTTTGTTGTTTTGCGCCTTTAAAAACTAGGTGCATCTTATGGAGCGAAAAATATGGTATGCAAATACTGTATCACAGTGCTGAATCGTGTAAAAATATGAAACATTTTTTAGCACAATAACAGTCCCATGCAAAAAATAGTCAATTGAAACAAACCAAATACAGTGGATAAAAAAAGTTTGTTAAAATGTGAGGTTTCTGTGACGTAAACAAATGACAAAGAAATAATTTCAGAACTTTTTCCACCTTTAATGTAACCTATAAACTGTATAACTCAATTGAACAACAAACTGAAATCTTTTAGATGGAGGGAAGTAAAAAAAAAAAAACAAAAAATATAAAGTGTGCTCGCCCTTAAATTAATACTTTCTGGAAGCACCTTTTGATTTTATTACAGCAATCAGACTTTTTGGGTATGAGTCTATCAGCATGGCACATTTTGACCTGGCAATATTTGCCCACTCTTCCTTGTAAAAACACTCCAAATCTGTCAGATTGCGAGGGCATCTCTTGTGCACAGCCCTCTTCAGATTACCCCACAGATTTTCAATCGGATTCAGGTCTGGGCTCTGGCTGGGCCATTCCAAAACTTTTATCTTCTTCTGGTGAAGCCATTCCTTTGTTAATTTGGATGCATACTTTGGGTCGTTGTCATGCTAAAAGATGAAGTTCCTCTTCATGTTCAGCTTTCTAGCAGAAGCCAGAAGGTTTTCTGCCAATATTGACTGGTATTTGGAGCTTTTCATAAATTCCCTCTACCTTGACTAAGGCCCCAGTTCCAGCTGAAGGAAAAACAGCCCCAAAGCATGATGCTGCCACCACCATGCTTCACTGTAGATATGGTGTTCTTTTGGTGATGTGCAGTGTTGTTTTTGCGCCAAACATATCTTTTGGAATTATGGCCAAAAAGTTCAACCTTGGTTTCATCGGACCAAAACACATTTTCCCACATGCTTTTGGGAGACTTCAGATGTGTTTTTACAAAATTTATTCAGGTTTGGATGTTTTTTTCATAAGAAAAGGCTTCCGTCTTGCCACTCTACCCCATAACCCAAACATATGAAGAATACGTGAGATTGTTGTCACATGTACCACACAGCCTATACTTGCAAGATATTCCTGCAGCTCCTTTAATGTTGCTGTAGGCCTCTTGGCAGTCTCACAGACCAGTTTTCTCCTCGTCTTTTCATCAATTTTAGAGGGACGTCCAGTTCTTGGTAATGTCACTGTTGCGCCATATTTTCTCCACTTAATGACTGTCTTGTGTTCCATGGTATATCTAATGCCTTGGAAATTCTTTTGTACCCTTCTCCTGACTGATACCTTTTAACAATGAGATCCCTCTGATGCTTTGGAAGCTCTCTGCGGACCATGGCTTTTGCTGTAGGATGCGACTAAGAAAATGTCACAAAAGACCTACTAGAACAGCTGAACTTTATTTGGGGTTAATTCAGAGGCACTGAAAATGATGGCAGGTGTGTACTGACTGCTATTTAACATGATTTTGAATGTGAATATTTAATTGTGAACACAGTACATCCCCGGTTATAAGAGGGTTTGCACACTTATGCGACCACATTATTTTAGTTTTTTTATGTTTAGTAACGGTAGATGGGCAGAAATGAGGCCAGCTGAATACTTAATAGAGTCCCAAAGATGGAGCGTTAGCGTCGGACCAAGGGATGAGGGTCGATGAGTAGAAGGAAGCCATGGTAAAGGAGTGGAATCGGGTGGGAGTCCAAGTCTACAGTAGCCCACAAAGGAAAATGGTGAGATGCATGGAGATGGGCTAGGGGGGGGCAAATATTGGCCGCCAGATAGTAAGACTGAAGGTTTGGGACTGATAACCCACCCTCAGTCCTATGAGCAAATAAGATTTTTTTTTTACCGATTCTGGGTCAAGAGGAACTCCAAATGAAAGACAGGAGTTTTCGCTGATGAATACGCAATATATGTGAGGGAACAGGGACTGGTAAAACTCGAAACATGTACAATAATTTGGGAAGATAAGTCATGTGGACCGCATTGATTCTACCGAACCACGAAAGCGGATAGTGAGACCAGGAGGACAACAACTCTGTCAAGTCATTAAAAGCAGTGGGGAAATTAGCCCGGTAAAGTCCTTCATAAGTCGGAGTAAGCTTGATTCCTAAATACGGCAGGGCAGAAAGCCATTGAAAAGGGAACAAATGTTTCAGAGTCTCCAAAAGTGATGGTGAGAGGGTAATTGACATAGCTGTGGACTTGGCAGGGTTAACATGGAGGTCTGAAAGAACTGCAAAGGAATCCAAAAGTAAATTTGGCAAAGTAACCCCCGGGTTCGTAACCGATAACAATATATCGTCAGCGAACATAGATAACTTGTGTTGGGAACCAGCTACATCTATTCTCTTAATATCAGAATGCATACGAATGGTTTCAGCCAACGGTTCCAAAGCCAAGATAAATAGTATGGGAGAAAGTGGGCAACCTTGTCTAGTTCCCCTGCCAATCGAAAACGTTGAAGACTCAAAACCATAGCATTTGAGTTTTGCTTGAGGTGATGTATATAGCGAGGAAATCAAACGCAAGAAGAACGAGGGACCAAAGCCAAAATGATGAAGGACCGACATGAGATAAGGCCAGGACAAGGTGTCAAAGGCCTTGTTGATATCTAGAGATAGAAGCATCATATCAATTTTGTGAGTACAGGCCAAATGTTGTAACTGTATAATACGTCTGATGGCATCTCCGGCTTGTCTGTGGGGGACGAAACCCACCTGGTCCTTCTTAATCAAGCGAGAAAGGAAAGAATTAAAACGAGTGGCTAAGATCTTAGTGAGGATTTTCATGTCAATGTTAATAAGAGAAATCGGTCTGTAATTTGCCCAAGAGGAATGGTCCCGATCCGGTTTGGGGATCATAACCACGTTAGCAGTCAAAAGTCAGGGGAAAAGTTTGCACCCCTCCTCATTGCATTGAACATAGCGGCAAGGTGAGGGGCAAGCACATCTGCCAATTTTTTGTAATGTGAAGCCATGTATCCATCTGGACCTGGGCATTTGCCCGTCTTCAGATCTGCAATACATTGCAGAACTTCCGATACTTGAATATCACGGTCCATCAGGTCCTTATGAGCCTGAGTCAAAGTAGGTAAGGACAAATGAGATAGAAAATCAGAGATAGATTGGGGATCAGCCCGTGTAGGATCCGCATAAAGTCTGGCTAGTCTATGCCGGAACTCCTCCAATACCGCTACAGGATTACTGGTGAGAACATTCTGACAAGTGCGTAGAGAAATTGGTTTAGGATGATGCGCGAAAGAGCGCAACCTACATGCTAACATGGAATATGGTTTATTTGCTTTACTATACCGCTTCTGGCGTGTCCATCGCAAAGAGCGCTCAGCCTCATCAGTCAAACAGAGATCTAGTTCCAGGCGAGCCTGATCCAAAAACCTACAGTTCGATGGGGTTGGTACCTGCTTATATTGAGCCGACACAGAAGCTAACTTTGATTCCAGCTGACTCTGTTTATGTTGTCTATCCTTCCTCCGCCTCAAAGCTATCTGAATAATATGACCCCGAGAACAGCCTTGTAAGCTTTCCACAATGTCACCGAAGAAGAGACAGAACCCGAGTTTAGCTGAAAATACTCTTGGGATTTACGCAATAGTTCCGCCTGAATCTCCTTCAGTGAAAGTAGAGAGTCATTCATAATCCAAGAGGAGTAGGATGGCTTACAGAGGAGAGACCAAAATGGGGTCATGATCGGACCATGAAACCATGAGGATAGAGACAGAGCGTACCAAAGGAAAATGTTTACGCAATACAAAAGCATGGTCAATTCTTGAATGAGAATGATGAGGGTGAGAGTAGTAGTAAATGTAGTCTTTTCCTCGGGGGTGGAATTCACGCCATAAATCTACCAGGTCATGGGTACTTAACGTACGAGTGAAGGATTTGGCCGACGTAGAATAATTAGAGTTTTCTGCAGGGTATTTATCTAGGGATGGGTTTAATACTAAATTGGAATCTCCTGCCAGCAGAAGAGTACCCTTTTGATGAACAGCCAGGAGGGAGCAGATATGTGATAAAAAGGGCCCGGGGTTGACATTGGGAGCATAATAGGTCAGTATTGTAACATCGATACCCTGAATCGTGCCCTGTAATAAAAGATACCTGCCGCTTGGGTCAGCAATACGCTTCACACAAATGGGGTTTTGCCATGAAAAGCAGCAAGGACTCCCCTTTGTTTAGTAGGGCAAGTATCCTGAAAAACCTGAGGGTAGCGTGCATCGAAATATTTAGGGGCAGAGGTATTTGAAAAATGAGTCTCCTGTAGGCAAGCAATGTCGACATGGCAAGCCCGAAGAAACAAATATCTTTACCCGTTTTTGCGGAGAGTTCATGCCCTGAACATTCAAGAATAACCAGTTTAGTGACATGGCAATCGGAAGGGAAAAAGATCATCTCCGCTAGGAGCCCTGAAAATTTTTTAATAAAAACACTAAACAGACATGACAAAAAACAGAGAAAAAAAAAAAAGACTGGACAGAAGGAAGAAAACAAGAAATCATCTGGTATACGAGCAATATTCCTATGAAATAGTAAGATTAGCACAAACATCTTAATAATCCACTGTGGGTGAAATACCCACAAAAAGGCTGGATAGCGGGCAGGACACCAATCCAGTCCACTAACCAGCTCAGAGGGGGACACCATAGTCCACTGGAACTACTCGACTTAGTTAAGGCAAGAAAAATACTAAACAAACAACTTGGGCTAATAAACCCAGGAAAAATTTACCTATAGTTGGCTAGTAAGGCCATAGGAATCTCAGTATACTTAGAACTTCAAAATGAAGAAGCTCCACAATAGCCGAAGGGGTGAGACCGCCCACTGGACCGCCCAGTGAGCTGAGTCACATCCGCGGCCTGAGATCCGTCGCCAGTTCCGCCCATCAACTATAACATAAGTAGAAGCATCTACACAGAACTAACATGGTTATTTAGGCACTAGCCGCTGTGGAGAAAGTGCTACAAGGCATAACTGCATAGGATCACATATGGCAATGTCGCCAGCATCTTCAAGAGTAGAAAAAAAATAAATGTGAAAAACCCAACCGGACAGAGAATATCAAGTCGCAGAAAGCTCCTGGAAACGCTGGGCCTGTAGGGATCGAAGAGCCTGAGAGCTACTCTGACTTGGAGAAGATTTACGCAAAGATTGGGAACTTCGAGGGCATGTAGAAAACTGTTGCCTCCCCATTCTGGGAGTGTGCAACTCCAATTTCAGTTCCAAAAAGTGACAGCGAAGATCCGCTGGTAAAGAAGCTTGGAACTGACGACCTTGGAAGGAGAAAGAGAGCTTGAAAGGAAAGCCCCATATTTACTTAATATCAGCTGATAGTAAAATCTGGAGGTAGGGTCTCAGGGTACGACATTTGGCAGTCGTGACTGGGGACAAATCCGCAAACAGCTGAATAGAGTGACCCTGAAATTCCAAAGCCAGACGATTCCGAGCCGTCTGTAGTAGACGCTCTTTAGTGCAGTAAAAGTGGAATTTAATGATAATGTCCCTGGGAGGGCCCTCCATGGGTTTAGGAGCTAAAGCTCTATGGATACGGTCAAACTCCAGTCGTTCCAAGGGGAGTTCAGGAGCCAGTTCCTGGAATAGAGCGGTAGCAGTACCCTGTAGATCGGCGATTACCTCAGGGACCCCGCGGATGCGGAGATTATCTCTGCGGGCTCTATTCTCAGCATCCTCCAATTTATCCTTTAAAGTGTCCAGTTCAGCATGCAGATCATGCACCTCCTGTTCATGGCCCTCCAAGACCGTATTCACCAGATCCACATGTTGTTCCAGTTGATGGGCGCGGTGGCCCAGTTCTTTTAGGCCTCTTACCAGATCAGAAGATAATTTACGAGAGGCAACTGTAATCTCCTCCCGCACTATGGCACGGAATTTGTGTAGCAAGGCTTCAGGGTTTTGTTCAAGAGGGCCGGTCAGGCCCGATGGGAACTGCTGCTGACTATCGCCATCTGACTCAGGATCCCCTGTAAGCTGCGTGATGTCATCAGGCTTTGGGGGGCTGGGCATTAGCTTGCTAATGTGACTATGTGGAGGGGATTGCTGCTGAGCCCGGTTTTTGGGTTTGGTGCGTGGGGTACGGTGCATTTTTAAGAGAAGTCCAGGTAGTTCACAAACACCTTCAACCGGTTGAAATTATACGCCAGGGTGTAGAAGCCCAATTGCCAAGATATATGTTCCGGTGGCACGGCACAGGGAGATCACACAGTCCTCTTCCCCGATTACGCGTGCGTGTCCCCCAATGGGTTGCCTTCACATAAGATCCATTGCTGCGGAGCACATCATGCGTCCCGCCACAGCCAATAAATTGTAGAGAAGATTATCGCACTGGAAAGGGAGGGGTAGATACAGACTTCAGATGTAACTGTGGCGGTACCTTCCATCCATAGGGTGATGAGGTCCCAAGCAGAGCAGGCATAGGCCCCAAGATCTCAGCAGCCGGTTGGCCGCGAGGATCCATGACAATCAGGCCTGGTGGTCAGCAACACTAAAGGCCTGCAAGGGGGGCCACAGGAGCCCCCAATTCACCCTCTATGGAAGGGAGGGCTGATGGGTGAAGCCTCCACCCCTATCAAGGGCTGCTTATCCACTTCTATGGGCCTCCAGGCCCTATTGGAACCTATGTGGGCCTGGTGTGTCCCCTGGGACCAAGACAGAAGCCAGGGGGACCCACACAGGCTGTCCCAGCAACTGGCCTTATAGCAGGGGGCCAAGGGGCAGAGCGGCAGCGTCCTGTCCCATCCGTGGTAGCGGGAAAGACCGCGGCACCACAAAACCGCGGTAGGCTGCAGATTGCCCGGATCGCCGAGTGGCCGGAGGGGAGACAAAAACGCCCGGCACCCCTCCTCAGATGTCAGGCAGGGTCCGCAGAGCCTCCGGTGGCCGTGTAAGGTCTGCTGTCGCCTGGATGGCAGCGGATTTAACTTCAAGGCGCCAGAGCTCAGGATCAGACGTCCGCTCCAGTCGCCATCTTGGACACTCCCCCTCAGTTTGCGTTTCAATTGAGTTGTACAGTTTATAGGTCACATTAAAAGGTGGAAAAAGTTCTGAAATGGTTTATATTTGTTTAATTTTTTTACATCACAGAAACCTGACATTTTAACAGGGGTGTGTAGACTTTTTATATCCACTAACTGTGGTAAAGACCCAAACAAACAAGCAGTACTCCCTGAAGAAGCCACGAGGGTTAATGGTGTAACGTGTAGGGCAGAGCCAAAGTGATGTCACTTCTGGTCCAGAGCTGATGCCGGAAGACATACTGTCTATATGCTGGTAATGAGTCTGTGACTCGGATTTATCATGCAAGTGTTTTTTAGTGGTTTGTTTTATTTAATTTTATTAAACAATACTGCACTCTCAGAGGGCCTACTATATTTTTCTTAGAGTTATCTTCAGATTCAAGTATTGCTCATCAACCCATCCAGTGGTTTATTTGAGCACCGGTCCCACCAATGATCCAGAATCCAGGGATGTACCTTCTGTTGATCTTCATAAGAGCTTTTCATTATAAACAAACGAAAAAAAAAAACAGGATAAAATTTGTACTTTTTATACTGTAAGGCCTTGCTCACTCGGCCGTACTTAAGTGTACACCCGTGTGAGGGTCGTGTTTGCCCACACAGGACGCACAGGTGTTCTTTGCATACACATGCAGACAGTAACATTCATATCAATTGAGATGCAGTGGCTGCTCCCAATGTCATATCCATATGAGTCCAGGTGTGTGTCCCCAAATGCAAAAACATTGTGATTCAGGGACAAGCGCCCATTTGGATGTCAAATTAGGACCAGCAGCTGTGCCTGGGGCTCAGCAACCACTGAGTACCAATTGAGATAATCAGACTGCTTGCACAGGGATGCATGAACACCTGTGCATCCCCAATGCCAGCCCTCACATGGGTGTACGCTTAAGTACGCCCATATGATTGAGGCCTAACAGTAGTTATTTTAAACTTAAAACTGATCAAAGAAGAAAAAAAGTTAAATCGTAACCACACACATTTCTGTGCAGGACGGCTTAAGTTTCAAGAAGTTTGAGACTGTTGGAGCCCTATTTGAACTCTTCTGCATTTATGCAGAGCTAGGCAATGTTTGTACAATTCATAGAACACTAGTGGCAACACATTTGTCTGCCTGTGCACAAGGGTACTGTGCACTAGCAGACAAAAAAAGGAAATAAAACATCTTCAACTTTTCTTCTTCTGCAATGAACATCCTATGTACAGGCTGGAAGAACACATGTTCTATCAAAACCTCAAAAACAGGTTCATTACAGCTCCACTGAGCCTCCTGTGTGGTTTACACAAATGCTAAAGGAACTGTACAGTGCTAGATACTCACGGATGAGTCCTCTTCAATTCTGGCAACTCTTCAAGTTGATCCATGTCCATGGTAGTCTCAACCTACAGAAATATATAGAGCATTAGCCTGAAGAATATGTAAACTATAAGAACACCATCTATAGTGTTTTTTATTTTTATTTAGTAAGATTGATATGCTGTATGATCTTTACCTGTAATTTACATTAAATAGGCTTTACACTACTGTACAGATTGTAATTTATATTGCTGCTAGAGATATCCATGGTTGCTTTCAGATATACACTATATTGCCAAAAGTATTGGGACACAGTCCAAATCATTTGATTTAGGTGTTCCACTCACCTCCATGGCCACAGGTGTATAAAATCAAGCACCTAGGCATGCAGACTGCTTCTACAAATGGTTGTGAAAGAATGGGTCGCTCTTAGGCGCTCAGTGAATTCAAGCGTGGTACCGTGATAGGTTGCCACCTGTGCAATAAACGTCGGGCACCATGGTGTAAAGCACGCCACCACTGGACTCTAAAGCAATGGAGTGACAAATCATGCTTCTCTGTCTGGCAATCCGATGGACATGTCTGGGTTTGGGGATTGCCAGGAGAATGGTACTTGCCTGACTGCATTGTGCCAAGTGTAAAGTTTGGTGGAGGGAGGATTATGGTGTGGGGTTATTTTTCAGGGGTTGGGCTTGGTCCCTTCATTGCACTAAAGGGAACTCTTAAGATGTCAGCATACCAAGACATTTTGGACAATTTCATGCTCCAAACTTTGTGGGAACAGTTTGGGGATGGCCCCTTCCTGTTCCAACATGACTGCGCACCAGTGCACAAAGCAAGGTCCATAAAGACATGGATGAGCGAGTTTGGGGTGGAGGAACTTGACTGGTCTGCACAGAGTCCTGACCTCAATCCAATAGAACACCTTTGGGATGAATTACAGCAGAGACTCCGATATCAGTGCCTGACCTCACAAATGCACTTCTGGAAGGATGGTTAAACATTCCTACAGACACACTCCTAAACCTTGTGGACAGCCTTCCCAGAAGAGTTGAAGCTGTTATAGGTGCATAAGGTGGGCCAGCTCAATATTGAACCCTGCCGACTAAGACTGGGATGCCATTAAAGTTCATGTACTTGGAAAGGCAGGCGTCCCAATACTTTTGACAATATAGTTGGGCAGCACAGTGGCTAAATGGTTAGTTTTTCAGCCTGGCAGTACTAGGGTCACTGGTTCGAATCCCAACCACGGCACCACCTGCCTGGAGTTTGCATGTTCTCCCTGTGACTGCGTGGGTTTCCTCCGGGTACTCCAGTTTCCTCCCACTCTCCAAAGACATGCTGGTAGGCTAATTGGCTCCTGTCTAAATTGGCCCTAGTATGTGTATGTATGAATGTGAGTTAGGGACTTTAGATTGTACACCCCTTGAGGGTTAGGGACTGATGTGAATGTACAATATATATGTAAAACGCTGCGTAAATTGAAAGCACTATACAAGTACCTGTAATAAATAAATATAGTGTAACACTAGCATAAGCAAATGTGAGCAATGCCTTTTCATACAGGCTTTAACCCTGTTATACGCCCCATATATATGCAAGTGTTTGTAAATTATTGTGAAAGTTAAAGCAGTGTTAATCCCCATAGAAAAATTTTATATTGCAGTTTACCAATTCTTAAAGCCTCGTTCACACCATATGTGCAGAAAAGATGGAAACTGACATGCAGATTTCACTTGCAGAGACATCAGTTTACAATCTGTTTTCATGCGCGCTTCAGTGAGTTTTATACACGCAGATTCCTGCGCAGAAAAAAAAAAAATCTGCATGTGATACTAGTGTTGTGAACAGGGCACATAGAGAACAATTGATTTCATTGTGCCCTTGCAGAACACGGGCAGAAAATCTGACACCATGGTGTGAACGAGCCCTAAATGTTGTAAGCTGCATAAGTTTTATTTTTTTTTACCTGTTGACTGGGCCATTAATCTTTCCGCCTTGGACAGGAAGCGGTTAACGCTGCAGCATTATTTTAAACATGGAGTTGGCATTGATAGTTTCAATACCTGAAATGTGTCTTTTTGGAGTATGTAATCCAAGATCATCCACTGAGATGATCAGCAAGGTCAAATTCTATGGCTGTCTTAATAAGGAAGAGGAGGTGAAGGACAGCTCACAGATCTCAATTATCCAGAGCTCTGGATATAAGAAGCTAATGTGAAGTAATGTTCACTTGTGATAATAGATTGCATCCTTAGTAGGAGAAATTAAAACAACTGCAAGTGTATGTCCAGCCAAAAATTTTTTTTTTAGTTTTGGACAGAGTGGTGTAGGGTTATATTTCATGTTGGGTTTTGCTAATAACTGAAAATACATTACAGAGATTTCCACACACTTCCTCTTTTTAAACTCTCTGTAGTCACTGTAAAATCCTTTTATTGGAATCTACTGAGGGACACAAAGTCATATACTGTCTGGTTACACTGTTTCTTCCTTGGTTCCATATGGGTCACGTTTCATCTCCCCAGTTTATGATTAGGTTTAACCTATATTTCCTGCCAAGTCTTGTTAAGTGTGTTCTCATGCACATTACTCCTTCCAGTCATGTGGATTTTGTGGGACTACTACTGGTTTCAAGGAGGACTTCACATTCTTTTTAGGTTATTGTTTCTAACCAGATTCAAGGATCTGCCATGGTTAGTGTCGCATGATAAAATAGTTGTCTGTCCCGACAATATCTACAGACGAGTTCTCTTTTCTTGCATCGTAAAGATAATGGCTTAGGGCCTTCCTATTTAGATTGGCTTGTCTGCCCTGTTCCAGAACCTTCTTCATAGGTTTCTTCTTTGAACCTGTTTTAACTACAACCTTGAACCCAGTCCTTGTTGCCCAAGTCAGGTTGTAAGTCGTTTTTTTTTTTTCTTCCCTACACAGAACTCACTTTTTGTTACACCCACAGGTGGGTGCTCTCTCTTGATCCATGGGTCAGTGTTCCCTCCATATGGAGTTATACTCCTCCGATAGTGACCTTTTTACTTTGGTCTTGATAAATCGGGTTGAATTTCCGTGACCTTCCTGTGGTCATGTTGCCAGGATCCCATATAAAGCAGGAGGTTCGACTTAGTTTGGTTTCAGGTTTGGATGTTGATCATTAGACACCCCTTCGGTGGCAAGCAGTCCTCTAGTTCTGCTTTAGATGTTACTGTTGCCCACTCAGCTGGACTGCTTTGGGATCCCCAGCTTGTTCTGGGGGAACTCAGCAGGGGGGAGGAACCAGAAGCACCAGTGGGGGACCTCAAAAGAGGAGAGTCGGGGCTGCTCCGTGCAAAACCATTCCACAGAGCAGATAAGTATGACAGGTTTGTTAATACAAAAAAAAAGAAAAAGCTGAACCTTTACTATCACTTTAATCTATCAGATGTGGCTAAATTTCTGATTTTCTATCTTTTTTTCTAGCACAACATATACAATTATGTTAGACAACACAAGTTGTTTGGCAAATATTTAGACATTGAGGTCTTATGTATTTCCCTACCTTTAAGCCTCTCTTCTGAAAATAAGTTGCTTGTCGTTGGTCTCTTTGTTCATCTGTCCTCAATCCTCTTCTAAAAGCAGAAGTCTGAGAATAACTACTGCAATGTATAAAAAAAAAAAAAAAAAAAAAACACAATCACAGACAAGATTATTCAGTGGAACTTTAGTCAGAAAATTAAGCCCTGTTATATCACTTCAGGCTGGCCCATTTTGCAGGTATACTGTAGCTATGTAAAACATTAAAAATAAGTGCCCATACGATTTAAAATCCAGTAATACACTGTATGACCCTGCTCTGCACATGCTCAATTGCTCTCTATTGTTAGGAACTGTGCTGAACTTATAGTGGCAGATCTGCTGACAGCCTAAAGGTTTAATGCTGTTCAGAGACTCTGGGCTTCAACAAAATGGAAGCCTCCAGCAAGAAACAGTTCCACACTAATTTTGCCAGCATAATTATTAATGTGGGATATTTCTCGCTAAAGAACATTATTTTATAAAATTGTTATGGGTAAGTTTCACTTTTAGAAAGCATCTGAATCTTAAATCTGATGTTTAATCCCCTTCCCTGTGTCCTCCTCTAGCCCACCTCTTCATCCCCATTTTCAACACAATTTCATTAACAATTACATGATCAACTATCAACATTAATTACGTACCTTATTTAAGGCCCAGTGACAATAATGGGTCTCTGTGCTTCCTTATGCAAGCATATCATGAAGCCAACAGGGTGCTGTGTATAGCTTCCTAAAACATCACAGCACCCTGTGAGTAAGCAATTTCAGTACAGGAGAGACAGGAGTTCAGCTTTATCAGCTTTTTCCATACCATGAACACTAATACATCTGAGGGGACATATTCAGTAACGATGAGTAATGGCCACTTATATAAAGAAGGTATGCAAAAGGCCCATTTTCTTTGAACCCCCCTCCTTTTTGGTGTACTCTCAGTTTTACACATCCAGGTGAACTACACGCTGCAAGCACTTTTAGCAAGGAATACTGTGATTTCATAAGTTAATCTGTTCAGAAAAAATTATGTTAAAGCATATCTATGTTCACAATGTAAAATAATATATTCATTCTGACACTGTATTTTAATTATTTGTAGCCTACTTCTATTAATTTGAGCAATCTTGAAGTTTGTAAACTTACTTTGTGAAGTTCCCCAAACATTTACTTCCTTGAATTCTGGAACACATTCACTATGCCCTGTGAATAGGCACTGCTGTGTCATAGATTTTACAAAGCCTGCTGCCTGAACTACAGGGGGTGCTGGGAAGAGGAGTTTCAGGAGGCGGAATCACCACATGAATCACTGATTACAGGAAGCAAGGTACCAAGGGACATGTAGTCCTTAGAAATGGAAAGTAAACAGAAGTTTAGGAACTGAAAAGCGTGCAGGGAATCCAGGAGATTGAGGAAAAGAGATGGCCAGAAGACTGACAGCACTCACAATATGAAAGGAGATTTTTCAACTAAGCTTATATTGGATTGTCAAACAAACTATTGTTTTTTTTGCTATTACAGTGCTGGTGGTATAAACTCTACGTGTATGCTGTGACCATAGAACTCCTTTAATCTCCTGTCCTTTTTTTTTTACTTTTTGTCATGTGGGATTATTACCCAAAAAATCTCAAAGTGGTTATAAAGATAGGCATGCCATCTGTATTCATTGAGACTTTCAAAAGTCTAAAAAAAATCTCAAAAAAGAAAAGGACTAATGTTGAAGTTGCCAAAAATTTTAATTCAAGATGAGTGCACATCACATAAAAAGACATTCTGTATACAAATGTTTAGGCGAAAGCTTCTGAGTTCACATATTGCAAAGAAGCAACATTCAGAAGTCAGAGAAGAAATAGAATGAAATAGAAGCAGGGAATTTTTTCTTCTTTAGCAAACCTTGTAACCATTCAAAGACCCTCTAAAATCACTGGAAAAATCAAACAACATACTTAACAAGTGTTTCCAAGCCTCCTGGAAGATCTGAATACCAGGACATTCTCTTACACAAATTTCAATACTTCCCTGCAGCCCTGAGGGCTACCCTGACCCCTATTCACCTTTAAAGTGATACTAAACTCTGGTTTTTAAAAAATCCTTAGAACCAGAAACGATCTCTCCTGCGCTCTATGACCCAGGGCAAGGGTGGATGGATGGAACCAGAACTTGAAAAATCCGACCACCAATGCATATAAAGTTGTGCAGCTCTAAACAAGGCTGGGGAAGCCCGACAAGTACTGCAAAGTGAAACAAAAAGAAAGCACACCAACCTTGCGCATTACCTCAGTAAACCCTAATTTTATTAAATTCAGAATAATACGTATTGTATTTTTCTGAATTTAATACAATTATGGTTTTTTTAAAAAAATCCTTTTCAAGCATGTATTCTCTACTCTAAAAGTACATTCCATTGCTCTCAATCACCTCCAAATCCTTTTCCTTTTTTTTTTTTTTTGGGTGCTGTGATACATCTTGTTACAGGGTGTTAAGAGGGTGGCTATATTTGTTCGCCATGGTCCCACTGTACGTAGGAACGTAGCCACCATCTCTTGCTAGCTCCAGAGATGGACTATGGTCTATGAGATTTGTAGTGTTCATACAGTAATGTATAGGACCACAAATAATGTGTACGGCTCATTCCAAACAACGGGACATGAGGGAGGGAAGGAGAGGTTCAAGACCTTACAGAGAAGATTACAAGGAGGAAGAAAAACACAGCAGGAAACAATTCATGAAAAAAAAAAAAAAAAAAAAAAAAAAAAGATTACAGGGCCATTAAGTAGTGGATATGTATGGATTATTTTTGGAAAATAAGGATATAATTTGGCATCTCTTTAACACCTCCTTTATGGTGTTTAGTTATGATTACCAGCCCTACTAGCCATCAGAATAGCAAAAGGTGGTAGGCCATCCTTAAAAGCCAGACCTAAACCCATCACAATAACTTTTTCCCCAAACAGTAGATCTAAAAGGCTTTTTTTCCCCCATTATGGATAGAGGGTTATAATCCCTGTCAGGTTTTTTTTTTTGCCATTGGTGTCCCAATAGAGAAACTTCCCATCTCATAGCTAAAACAGGAAGTAAGGAGAATTCCCACCAAAGTAAGTGAATTCCTGTGTGTCACTAGTGTCACCAGAACATGTATCCTCACTGGAAGAGGTCCCCTCTTAATCCTGTTCTGGGGACAACCCACAATTTAGGATTTTCTCTCTCTCAGCGATAACGGTACACCTGACAAAATAGGAAGGGTGAATCTCCCTAGTAGACTCAGAAAGCAATAAAAAGCCTGACAGATGTTCTAATCCCTCTCCACTCTATCCAAAACTAAAAAAAAAAACAAAAAACAAAAAAAAAAAAGTTTTGACTTTAGTTATACTTTAAAGAATTACAAATAAAAAATACATGCTAGTACCAGCAAAGAGCAATAGAGCCAAAGTAGATAATAAAAGCAGAAAATAAATATGTAGTGAACAGACCCCTAAACAGGTAGAGACAGCCTTTACATGAGGTTAAAACACATGTCCAGCTTACCTATGAAAATAATTTCTCTTTAGAGAAGGTACAAACCCTAGGCGCCTGGAAAGATTTGTTCTCCTCCTGAAGGGTGACCACTGACCTTCTGAATTCTTTATAAAATGATGAAAGACATTATAGTTAGTATACATTTTTTTTAACTTGACAATTCTACAATGGTATATTCTATTGACAAGAAGTCTCCTTCCTTTAAGTCTCCTTTAACATGTGTTCTGTTTGTCCGTTTTTTCAACCTTCTGTGGATGGAAAATGGACAGTAATGTATTCTATTGAGAGTGCAGGTGTATAGTGATAGCCATCAGTACAAAACAGTATGCATCCACGTGCATTTACAAAGAACAAATACGCTTGCATCCTTTACCATTTAATACAGGCTTACTAATGTAAACTGATGTTATTGGTATACATCCAGGGATGTTTATTCCTATCGCCTGATGCCCGGGACATGTAGTTCCAGGCGCCGGGCAAGAAGTTTTGTTCTACATTTAGCCCTGCAGCGGGCTACTCAGGTGCTGGCAGAAGCTGAAGACAGAGAAGCCTGGCTTCTAGTCTGGCGGCAACCCTCACTGCTTGGCACATGACAGCAGAGGAGAAGATGGGGGGAGTGGTGTTTTTCTTCACAGCGGTTGCTGTTCTGAGCAAGTACACAGTACATGGACTCCTATCTCCTAGCAAACATCCCTTTTTACCTGTCCTAGCCCTGCACTAATAATCTTCTGCAATGAAAAGCCAGCATGGGGAGTTTTGCTTCTCTTTCCACAGGAAGTGCACACATACTTTCCTGAATTCTTCCTACAGGCTGTCAGTCCCAGGACATTAATCTGCCTCCAGTCCCTGCAGCATACCGCTCAGAGCTCTGCTCCTCTGCTGTATCCCACCTGTAATGGACATCTCCTGGAATCTTCCTGACCAAGTGCACTGTGGTATGTGACACTCAGCATGTGCAGTACAGTCACACTACACTCACCCACCACCCCACTTATCCCAATGTCCCCCTCTGATCCACTTATCCCAATGTCCCCCTCTGATCCACTTATCCCCAATGTCCCCCTCTGATCCACTTATCCCCAATGTCCACCCTCTCCTCCACGTATCCCAGAAGTCCCCACTTATCCCCAGTGTCCCCCTCCTCTCCCACTTATCCCCAATGTTCCCCCTACACTTCCCCCCCACTTATCCCAATGCTCCCTCCCCCACACTAATCCCCAATTTTCCACTGTGCTCCACTTATCCCCAATGTCCACCTCTCCCTCCCACTTATCTAAAATGCCCCCTCCTCTCCCACGTATACCCAATGTCCCCCCTCCTCTCCCACATATCCCCAATGTCCCCCCTACACTCCCCCCCCCCACTTATCCCAATGCCCCCCCACACTAATCCCCAATTTCCCACTCTGCTCCACTTATCCCCAATGTCCCCCCTCTCCCCCCCACTTATCTAAAATGCCCCCTATCTCCTCTACGCATCCCCAGTGTCCCCCCCTCCTCTCCCACTTATCCCTATGCCCCCCCCACTAATCCCTAATGTCCCCCTCTGTTCCACTTATCCCCAATGTCCCCCCCTCTGTTCCACTTATCCCCAATGTCCCCCCCTGCTCCACTTATCCCCAATGTCCCCCCTCGCTCCACTTATCCCCAATGCCCCCCCTCGCTCCACTTATCCCCAATGCCCCCCCCTCGCTCCACTTATCTCCAATGTCCCCCTTCCCCCCCCCCACTTATCTAAAATGTCCCCCCCTCTCCTCCACGTATCCCCAAAGTCCCCCCTCTCCCCACACTTATCCCCAGTGCCCCCCCCCCCCCCCCCCACTAATCCCCAATTTCCCCCTCTGCTCCACTTATCCCCAATGTCCCCTCTCTCCTCACCACTTATCTAAAACTGTACTAGAAGGGGGGGTTGTAAACCAGCCTTTGTGGTATGCATTCCTGAACCCTAAACTCTGCACTCCGCAAGCAGTGCACTCCTGAACTCCGCACACAGCGCACTCCTGAGCTCCGTACTCTGCACACAGCACACTCCTGAACCTTGCACCCTGTAGGCAGCGCACTCCTGAACCTTGCACCCTGTAGGCAGCGCACTCCTGAACCTTGCACCCTGTAGGCAGCGCACTCCTGAACCTTGCACCCTGTAGGCAGCGCACTCCTGAACCTTGCACCCTGTAGGCAGCGCACTCCTGAACCTTGCACCCTGTAGGCAGCGCACTCCTGAACCTTGCACCCTGTAGGCAGCGCACTCCTGAACCTTGCACCCTGTAGGCAGCGCACTCCTGAACCTTGCACCCTGTACGCAGTGCAATATGCACTACTGGTATTTAACAATGCTCCATTAGGACCCTGCCACTGTTAGGTAGTGGTGTGGTCAGGGTATGGTTGAGTTTCTGCACTTATTCTCTGAGAGAAAAAAGCCCTGGCGGGCTGTCCTGTACATTCAACCAGCCGGCTCAGAACCAAAGCCACTCTGTCCACCTCTATGATATAGGAAACAGGAAGCAATGAGCCATTTTTAAAAATGGAAAGCATTTGATTACTTGATTTTGGTGTGATCAAATGCCTTTAAAAAGGGCAGAGGAAAGGTCTGGGGTCTTATTTGCCCAAGATCTCTCCCATAAGGAGTACCTGTTACTGCCTACTGCTGTCACAAGGGATGTTTAAAAAAAAAAAAAAAAAAAAAAAATGATATATATATATATACATATACACATACACACACATTTGGGGGTTCTAGGAAATGTTCTGCAAAAACTAAAAAAGATTAAAAGTTTAAGTCACCATAATGCCCCTTTTCATTTTTAAAAGTCCCAGTTATTCCTAAAAGCACTTCTTCCTAATAAGAAACATCAACCCTTCATATTTTCCATTCTGGGAAAAAAAAATATATATATTTTTTATCAAGACAAGTAGGTTGTCATGAGGGACATGTAGATTGGGACCCCGATTTAGTCCCTTGGACAAGTAGTTTTTTTTTTTTTTTAAATTTCCACACCCCTAATACATCCGTTCATTAAATAGAACGTGAAAGTCAAGGGCACATCTGACTGATGCAGAAGACAGACAGTGGCTTTAAAATGTCTCTGTTCTCATTTATTGACTATATTAAGAATACACACATACTCCTCAGGGAAGAGGAGGGAGACGCAGCACAAGGAGTAAGTAAGGTGTTCTGCAGTGCAAGTAGTATGTTGATAGGTAAAAGAGCAGAGTGACTAAGGGCTCGTTCACACTTGACTGTTTTACCAACGCTTGCCAAACGCCCCTATAGTGTTTGGCAAGCGTTGGTCCGGCGTTTGCGGGGGCGTTTTTCAACGCTTGGCAAACGCTCCGCAAACGCCGCATGCGCGGTTTAGCGGCGGTTGCTAGGCGTTTGTGGAGCGTTAAAAACGCTCCGCAAACGCCTATAAGGAAGTTTAAATGGTATTACCGCTCCACAAACGCCCAGCAAATGCGTCGCAAACGCCGGGCGTTTGCGGAGTGGCACCATAGACTAGAATAGGAGGCTTCAACGCCTCCTGACTCGACCAGAGGCGTCCGTTTTGCCGCGATGCGACGCTAACGCTCCCGTTAGAACAGCATCATGTGTTGCAATGTGCAGAATTGGCAGAGGCATTTGGGAAGTGGTAAAAACGCTTCCCAAATGCCTCTCTGCCGCCTGCACACAACGCTAGTGTGAACGTAGCCCTAGAGATGAGCATAAAAGGGTTTTGCTTCTCCTTTCACTCTACAGCCAAAATATCGGAAAAGACTACCTGAAACTGAAAGTCAATATGCAGAGAAAGATCAAGTCCCCCTTGCAAAGCAGAGCTGTGTAATCTTAGGACAGGATGGATAGATATACAAATCCTTTGGTAGGCAATACTTAGCTCTCATGTATGTATTTTATCTTTGTATTTGGTCATTTGCCTGGACTTCAGCTTTAAAAGCTACCTATCTGAGAAATACGTGCATTGCTATTGCCATTTAGCATTCAAAAATGCAGGTTGCCTGAAGGCTTCAATATTTTTTGAGTTACAGACTGGGAATAAGCATGCAGCAAATTAAATTAGAATTCCTCATCTCTCTACTTCTTCCAGGTTAGCAACTCAAAATACAAAAACCAAAGCATCAGCATGGCAGCCAAGCAACTAACATTTTATAAAAGAACTGAAGACCAATGCTCTATGCAAGACACAAAAAGGCAGGCAGAAACTGCTTACCCTAAGACTAAGTGGAGGGCGGTTTAGCGGACTGACACCTTTCCATGAAGTCATTTTCCGTAATGCCAAGCCTGTTTTAACCCCAAATGTTCCATTTTTCTTTCCCTGTACTCGGTTGCCTGAACAAATAAAAAAATTAAAATGTTCCAGTTAGTGATACATCCATTTAGAACTACAATATAATCATACCCACACACAGTTGTGATTCACAGGAAGGGATTCACAAGGAGGAATCAGTGACAGTGCTGAAACAACCGTTATACTGGCCATATCCGGTTAGAAAATCGTTAGAAAAAAAAAACGGTCAGGTTTATAAAGATCTGTCGAACGTGCATACCATAACACCATAATGTAACGTAATTTTGCCCCCAATTATTGACATATCGATCGATAACTTAAATGGTACTTTTTTTGTTGATCGATTACACAATCAACGAAAATGATGTAAAGATTTTTTTGACCTTTGTGAACCCTCCCACTGACAATCATAGTGTCTAATCCCACAATATACATTTATAGTTGATAAAAATCCTTGTAACTCAACACATTCTTTTGTTTGGTCTTGCAAAATGGCGACACTATTTTTAGGTGCGGCTTTTTTTTTTTTTTAAGCATATTGGAAGTTATACTGGTTAACATTTGCAATATTCTCTATTTCCCTGTATGAACGAAAATTAGCCAACAAGATAGATTTTTCTTTTCATTGCTTGTACTCCCGGGGTTACATTTTTTTTTCAATTCTTTATTTAGTGACAGCTCACGGCAACAGTACAGCCAATAAAAATAGTCACAGAGAACATGAATATATAATTCCAAAGACCTGAACAGAAAATCAGCAGTTATCTAGAAAGGATAGGTATGTGGCAATAACATAACAAATCATTCCAACAAAGTTATGCTTAATCATACCCAAGAACATACACAAAAAAGATTTGTGCCATGAAAGTCAGACGTCTTAGGATAAGAGGAGTATCTGCTCCTCAAGCTGCCCCTTATGTATTTAAACTTTTGCTGCAAAGCAACACAAGAAAGAACTAATAGAAGTGACAAACAGAACAAAAAAAAAAAAAACAGAAAAAAAGACCATAGAGGAAAAAGAGCAGATAGAGGCGAGAGGAAGAGAGCAAGGAAGAGGAAAGAGAGCAAAAAAAAAAGGGGGGGGGGGGCAGAGAAAAGGCAGGGAGAAATTGGAAAGGCAAGCCAGAGAAGGGGGAATACATTCAACACCATCCCCTCCTAGGCCTACACCAAACCCCACCGGCACAAAAAACAGGACACCCCACCAAGCTACACCACCAGAGAAGCGTGTTCCTCTGAATAAATTTGTGCCAATGATGCCACTTCTTGAGAAATCGTGATCGATCACCCCTCTCTGCTGCCACCATGTCCTCCATCTCATTAATGTCTGCCACTTTCCGCAACTAAACAGAGATGGTCGGAGCTTGAGTTTGTTTCCAAAACAGAGGGATGCAGCTCTTTGCCGCCATCAATAATAAAGGCAAGATACGACTTATCAGGATAGTCATGGTGATGCAGCAGATAAAACACAGGCTCCCGGGCAAGCTCATAATCCGTAAACTTCTGGGCTATGTGATGTACTCCATCCTAGAAAGCCTGCAACCAGTTACAGGACCAGAAAATGTGAAGCAAGGAACCAGTTTCCTCCCCACAGCACCAACAAAGATCACTACAGTGGGAAAACATAGTGTGTAATTTGACAGGTGTGTAATACCAACACGTCAGCAGTTTAAAGCCGGATTCCTGATATTTAGAGCAAACCGATGTTTTACAAGAAAATGTGAGGATCCTCTCCACTTGCGCATCCGTAAAGCTCAGCCCCAGATCTTGTTACCATTTAAAAACATATGGCAGCGTATAAGGAGATGACGGGGACACTAAGAGTTGCTAGGTCTGCGAGATTGCATGGCAAATCAGATAAAGAAGTCTAGGCAATACATTCATTCTGACTATTCTGCAATGTACAAACCAGGAAAACAACCCTCCCTGCCACTTCGCCAAATCCTAATAGCCATCAATAAAACGGCGGAAAGTTCAACTGAAAAACATCATCCAGTCTCCCGGCCAGAAAAATACCTAGATATTTGATATGAGCAGTCGTCCATTTAAAAGGAAAATCCGCTTTGAGCAAGGCAGATTGTGAGGACGATAGCGACACCCCCAATGCTTCCGACTTTTGGCAACTGACCTTAAAATAGGAGAGAGTTTTTCAAAAACCCTCAGTTCTGAAAGAAGATTCGGTAGAGATACCAGGGGGTTCGAGAGTGGGGGGCATCCCTGACAAGTGCCATTAGTGATCGCAAAGGGGGTGGAGAGATGGCCATTCACCTTCACACAGAGGGGCATGAATAGATAGCTTGCAGCCATCGAACCATCCGCTGCCCCAAACCAATGTGCCCGGGGTTACATTTTAACACGTGCATGCGCTGTAGGTAGGTTTTTTTTTTTTTTTTTTTTAAAGTTTTCGATTGATTCTACTACCAAAGTTTAGAAAATCTTTTGTTTAAGCTACAAAAATGTTACATGACATTTCGGGTTTTATTTGTCATAAAACTTGGTATTTCAAAAATCGAAATTAGCCCACTAACATTTTGAAAGATGAACGATTGAGCATATCGAATGCTTTTTCGAATGATTTTCTAATTGTATATGGCCAGCATTATTCTGGTTATTCCACAGCTGCCCACATGTGCCGATTTACTGCTAATCAGTCAGACTAGTCAATCTTTTAAAAAGGAATGGCAGAAAGAACCCCAAGACCTCATTCGCATGGGGCATTTTGATCTAAGCCCTGTGCAGGGCCATATTTTACCAGTACAGGGATGCACAAGTATCTTGTGCATTCCTTTGCCGACAGTCCCACTGCTATCTATAGGGACACAGCGGCTACATAGACACATGCGCTGCTCCAAAATGTGACATCCTTGTAGATGTACAGCCCTGAAAACACCCAAGGTGCATTCAGGCCGTGCACCCACACTGATGAGGACTTAATGTACAATTACCTAGGTAGCAAATACATTTTTTTTTCTTTTACCTGTTGGCCGTCGAGAACCCCATTTGTTCCGAAACCACTGAAAGGAATTGGTCTGTGCTCCCCCATTGAAAGCAGTTTTACTTTGTTGTTCCTTGTTCAGCTTGATAATGTCATCTAACAAGAAAAAGAATATCGACAAAAAACTTGGTAAATGCATGGACATCCTCAGAATAGTTACCACAAAATATTTATATGTAGTTGCTTTGGGTACAGATGTTCTCCAGGCAAATGAGAGAGATACATTTGTAATACATATATGGGAAATGTTTAACAGCCAAAGGGTTTGTCATTTTCATTGGTTGATCTAATGATCTAAAAACCTCTGCCAGAAGGTTCAGCCAGGTTCCCGACCTCCTTTTCAGCAGCTGAACCACTTTGTCATGAACACATTCCATTCCCAGCCTACTGCCTGGACAGAAAAGGAGCTTAATGCTCCTGCTGACATATTAACTAACAGAGCATGTGCACTGCAGCAGAATCTGATTGCCTCAGAGTGCTGACCCTCCCTATCCTATTCTGAATTCTTCTGTACAAGGAGATTACAGAAGATCAATATAAATTCAGGAAATTTCATTTGTATGTTGAAATAAACAATGGGGCTACCATTGTTGATGTCCCATTCTGCAAAAGCTAGTCATATTTGCTCTTCTACTGACCCCACTAAGTCCTCATTCACATGAGTGCCGAGACCTGTATACAAGAATGGGCCACTTTTTTCTGACATCTCTAATCTCCAAGTGCTGCGTGCAGCAGCTGCAAATCACAGGAGTGCAGGTAAGTAGCCCAAAATGCATGCAGTGTGCATTTGACAGCGCTGCATAGGGATAACTATGATCCTTACGGAGTCACATGTATAGAGTATTATAAGATGGCTATGTATACTTCATTTTGTCTCATCAGAGATGCTTCAAGTTGTTTACTGCAAATGGCACACACATATCTAGATGGCAAGTGTGCCAGCAGGCTTGTGTAACATTTTAGGTGGAGTGTCCGCCTTGGTCCTTTCATGTGGTCTGTTGCTATTTGATAAGAAAGGCTATATAAGCAGAGAAGAACTCTTATGGAAAGTGGAATACAGTGAGGGCGGACACTGAATTTCCCATATATGTATATGCAATAATAAATAAAATACGGAGCCTTAACTCATCTGCAGGTAATTATTCAAGTTTCCTTAAAAATAGAGGAACTTGAGCAGGAGGTACAATCTTTTCTATACAGCACTCATCCACAATCCTGTCACATTAAGGCTAGGTTCACATCTCCGTGTTCCTGCGGGCTGTGTTTTAAGCGGGCACGAGAGCCCATTCATTTGAATGGGCTCCCATTCTCCGGGGCATGCAGGGAAGAAGTCCCTGCATTTCTTTGGAAAAACACAGCCCGCACGGGAACCTCTGTTCCCAGTGCGACTGCGATGTCCAGTGCAGGCGGCGTGCCATTAGAATTAATGGCACCCGCCCACGGGTCCGCATTCCTCTGTGCGGCTGCACGGATTTTTGTGCGGATCTGCAGCGGCATGTAGCTGCTGCATCATAACAGACTTTAATGGACTGCTTGCGTACAGCACTTGTAGGTTAGATGCCAGAAAAAAAAAAAAAATCAGCTCACGGTAAACAGGCCTTGGCGCCTGTGTGACCAGGGCCTAACCCAGCTCAAAGATGCAGATTGGGACTCCTAGCTAGTTCCGGTCTAAATATTGAAGCCAGGGAGTCAATGTAACAATTAGGCAGCTAGCTGTGTTCAATGTGTGTATCACATTTGACAGCCTAGTTTCACCTTCTCTATAATGAGAGAGAGGAAAGATAGAGGTGGCCTGTGGGGGAATAACTTGGTCTCTGGAGAGAAATTTGAGCAGAAACTGTTTTCCAAATTATGCAGCAACCAGTTATTTTTAAGTTGAATATTTAATACATAGCAGTTATTCCTGTTAATCTCTTCACACATAGGGTTATTTCAAAGAAAACCTGCCTTGACAAATAGGGAGACTGCGATTCCTAAGTTCACTTTTTGAAAAGGCTAGTTGTCTGGTTGTCATGCTGATCCACTGGCTTCAATATTTGAGTCCATAACAAATATGTTCTGTATACCTGTTCCAATTTAATTTAACCAAGAACTAAACCCCAACTTTAACATTCCAGGAAACCTGTACTGAGAGAAATATGGAGGCGGCCAATTATTATTATTATTATACAGTATTTATGTAGCGCCAAAGGGTTTGCTCAGCGCTGTACAGTAGCAAGAGGGACAGAACATGAGACAAGACAGTAACAGTACAATACACGAGGGGTTCGAGGGCCCTGCTCTTTCAAGCTTACAATCTAGGAGGGAGGGGAAGGTGGTACAGGAGGAAATGTCTGTGGGGGATGGAGTGGTGGGAGGAGTGGAGGGTGACTTCTTGCCCTCCAGAGGATTTACCCCCCTTTCTTACCAGGCGACTTTTTGCGATACGGCACTGCATTACTTAACTGACAATTGCACAGTCATGCAACGCTGCACATAAATGAAATTTATGTCCTTCTTTCCCACAAATAGAGCTTTCTTTCAGTGGCATTTGCTTGCCTCTGCGTTTTTTTTTTTTTTTTGCGCTATAAACAATTTAATTTCTAATTTCTTCATAAATTTAGGCCAAAATGTATTCTGCTGAAACAAATCCCAATACATTTAAATTAATTGGTTTATGTGAAATTTACAGCATCTACAAATGGCAGAAGGTATACTGGAATTTTTTTTTTATACAAGTAATGGCGGCAATCAGCGACTTATAGCGGGACTGCGGGGGTATTCTGACACTGGGGGGAACTGACTAACTGCCACTGACATCCCCAGTGACAGTAATACAGTGATCAGTGCTAATAATAATATCTGAGGCGATCAAAGTGTTAACTGTGTGCTGTTTTACTAGGGAAAAATACTGCCGTGTATTTCTCTGCTGTGTAGAAAATACACAGCACCATGTTACTGCTGGCAGGAGAGAGACCTGTGTTGTTTACATAGAGGTCTTTCCTCTGTCAGTGATACTCGGTGATTGCCGAGTGCTGGCGGGGAATCTCTGGCCGGGACCCGGTGATAGACATCTGTAGCCACCAATGGCAGGGTGGTGCACGCAAATGCACCCTCTATATACACACACACACACAAACGATTTTGTGCAGCCCTGTCGCAGCACTTCCGCTATAGGGTGGTCGGGAAGCAGTTAAAGCACTTCCTTATCCTAATACATGTCCCATGAGGCATTGCTTCTCACACATTCACATGTTCCCAGGCACTTACTGACATGTATTGACAATGTACAGAGCTGTACAGGGGTTGGACAAAAATAAAGAAACACTACATGATTTGCAGGTGTGAAAGTGACATGTTTTGCTTTGAAAGCAGAATGTAACATTCTTTTGCTTCCGCTGTGTGATGAGACACCTAGCTAACAGATGGGAAGCCTCACTTTCATCATTCACTGCATGCGCTGCTAGTACTACAGAGTCGTATCAGAACTTACAAAGCTTCAAAGAGGACAAATTGTTGATGCCCGCTTAGCCTCTGTGACTGAAGTTGCCAATTTATTTTCCGTGTCGCAAGGTACAGTATCAAAGGTTATGATGGCATATACAGTTTCTGGGAAAGAATTGACCGAGAAGCATAAGCTCAGTCGATATGGTCAACTGACAAAAGGACATTACAAAGGATTGTGACCAGGAATAAGAAAACAACTGCTGCAAAAGTGACTGCAGAGCTCAATCTCAGTCCCGTTTATAATCCTGCGTATCCAATAATAGTCCCTAATGATGTGAGGATAGTCGTCCACCTCCAACATATGATCCCAGGCCTTTTTTCATACCAATAGAAACTGGCTACCTGTTCCTGATTGCCAAATGATAGCCAAAGCCAGCAAGAAGCTCACAGTCAATTTCCAAGAAGCTGAGGAAAGTATGAATATGATGCTGGCTCTAGTATAATTCACATCTTAAAAAGGAGGTTTACTTAATCTTTTAGCCTGAGTTGCATATAGTTTACTTACCAGCCCTCAGGCCAAGTTCTTGGGGGATGCATATCTCCCAGCTACCCTTGCCTCTGTGTTGTTTCCACTTCCCTACACTGATTTCTGCGCTGGATAGCCTTCCTTGATCCCTTCATCCAACCCTGGCTTTTTCATTCTCTTTCTCCTACCAGTTTTCACTGTAACTCTCCACTTTCCAAGCCACTCTCTACCTCCCTATATTTTCCTGCCTGGAGCTACCTGGTTTAGACCACCTATCCTCTATTTAGGCCCATGAAGGGCCCTCAAGCAACACCTTCCTATAGATTCAGAAAATTTACAGATACAAATATTTCTTCATTTCATCCTGTTTGGTTCCCACCGCTGTCAATCAAATTCTATGATGAGGGCGGGGCTGAGCTGTCTGTGTCTATAGATACAGGCAGAGCGGCTCAGGATTGAGCTTGCAGGTTTGCCACAATAGGAAGCGGTTTAATATGGTGGCACACCAAGAAAAGGAGGAGCCAGGAACCCTGGCGGGGGACTTGAGAAGAAAAGGATTGGGGCCAAGTAAATATAGCACGTTTGTTTACAATAACTTTAAAGTGGAAGTCCAAGCTATAACTATCCACTTTTAAATCTGCTCCCACCTCCCTTCTAACACCTATACTCACTACCCTGTAAAAGGAAGATGCATATAATTACCTATTCTCAGGGCACTCCAGTCTGGTTACGCGATAGACTCTTCTCTCTCAGCTAGCAGCAGCTTCAAGGAAGAGGAGGGACTGCTAACAATGAATTCCCCATAGTGAGCTTATGGGTGACATCATTAATCAAGCATTTTAGCCATTGTCGGTGATCACTTCTCTACCCTGAGGCCAGTTACTAGGGAGATCACGCGACTGGACTGAAGCAGCCTGAGAATAGGCAAATATATGCATCTTCCTTCCAGAGCAGGCATCACTAGATGGTAGACAGTGATCCAGATGCAGATCCCAGTAACAGTCTTATCCAGACTGCAGCCTCGCCAAACAGATGCCTGAGTGTCCTCTTCTGGCCAGCGGCTCACATGCCCCCGCTGTCATCCTCAAGGAAGGGCACAAGATGGGAGGCAGGGTGGGACTTTTCAAGTTAGGAAGCGGGTGCTTGGTTGTTAGGTTGCTGGAAAGTCCTGCTCTTTGTCCATACCT